CTCTTGCAGAGCGGTAAGGACAAGACTAAAGGTTTTCTCTGCTGAATGTGCACAACATCTTTGCTGCCGTCCAATTACAGCAAATTTGCCCGTCGCGGAAAATCACACAAACAACGTAAAGAATCTCCGGTGAATTGAGTTTTCACCTTTCGAGGCCATAACTTTGTTAGTACATAATAAAGAACGGAGTACTACACGGCATTGGAAAGTAGAAGGGTTTCTCTTTCTGATGAGCTCAACAGTGACGTAGCCGCTGACTATAGCAAAATTCGCCAGTTGCGGATTTTTTTCGACGGCAGCAAAGTCAGCTTCAGCTGCAACATGAGGATCCCCTCCCGCCGTGCGAAGCCCAAACTTGCATAGAGAGAATTCGGTAGGCCTCCCTCACAATTCCGCCTCATGTGGTGAATAGGAACTGCTGCACAAGGCACTGATCAACATCTCCACGCAATGTGCCACCCTCTTCCAACGTGCGATCCATCCTGCAAGCTTCGTCGCTGATGTGTTCATTTCTGGCCTCTGCAAATACGACTCCCCCGAGGGGTGCCAAGTACGACCCCCGTCGTGAATTCCGCGACGCATCCTTGACCCTGCTCCAGACAGCGTCATTTGAAACATTAGTGTACAGGGATGACAAAACATTGAATGATTCCACGACGCAATCGTCATGAATGTTGACCCTACACCACTTGTCTAGCAGCATGCCGGTGTTAGTTACGGGAGTGGGGGGGGGGAGGCAGGATCGTGCTGAAGAAGCTATCTCAGACTAAAATGAGAAACTTAGCTAGGATATTTTTTCCCGTAGCCCCCTCCTTCCCAAGTGTTACTTGTTATGGGGCTTATCTTGAACCTGGCAGGGTTATCAGAAGCCATATCCGATAATGTGAGCTTATGAAGCAGCAGAGCGATCAAATCACATAGCTTTTTCAACTCATCCAGGATGCTCCTCCTAAGAGGGTCCGGCACGGAACGTTCGCGGTGCATTTTTGACGGACCACTTGCCACTACACCACCGCCGCTGCTCGTAGTGGATATGAAAGAGAAATTGCATCACGCACTGCTACCTCAAAGATATGTTTGGTGTATTTACAATAGAATACTTGCACGTGTATGTTCATCAAAGAGCACTTGTATCAGAACCAGCGATCCCTTCTCTAATACCACATCTGAGGCCTAAATATACAGGAAAAATGGTCAGGTACTAGAGCTTCTCTGCCAGCGGCTGTACTCGGTAATTAGGTTGTACTACCACTCTGTCCATCATATGCATATGCTAGTTTACAACACATGAGAATGGTGAATCCGCAACAAACATCGAGAAGGCGAAGTTTGCTCTTAAAGTCATTCTATATTGTAGCTGAGGGCATGGAACTCATCCTCACTAGCGCCACTGCGCTCGTATCAAGCTTCACAGCATCCCTTTCAAAACGTTGTAAACTTAAACCGCTGTACTGGGTCTCACGATTATAAATCAGCGCTGCGGTGCCAGCTCGGTGACAATGTTTCCCTCAGCAAACTCTTCATATACTTCCATTTGGGGTTACTCGAGACAAGATCAAGCATTGCGCCGAGGAAAATTGCACCGTCCTCAGCACCGTTTCTCGATGGTACAGGAAATAATTTCGTAAAAGAGCATGTGTAATTGCGCAGCGGCGTCGCGTCTTAAGAGAAGCCGTTTATGTTGAGAATTGTACCATTGAGGTTCGTCGAAAGGGTAGAATATCATCCAAGAAAAACTTCCTCCGAAGCGCTGAGCGGAATCAATGAATCTTCAACTTTCCACCGGCACTAACTTCAGTCAATCATAGATATCAGGAGTGTACTTTTCTTAACAACGCAATTTGTTCAAGGTTTTGAAAAATCTGCCGTCGAGAAGTGCCATTCAAGGAGGAGACAATCCTGCGCATA